ATTTTCAGCTGAGTCTTGGGTGGTAAAAACTGAAATGCAACATAACTTTTCTGTTTACCATGTCTCCACGTGCTAGTCACTTCCTAGCCACATTTCCGTGAATAATTTACCCTATGTCGCTGAAGTCTCGTTAACTCTCGCCAGAACCACTGCCAGAGCTACTCTGAACTCATCGGGTCTTATAATTTGCAGAACACCGAAAAATAAAATGTTCCGAACACATTAGTAGGGGTGTAACTTACTTAAAACATTTCACCATTGTCGAAAACTTCCATTGTTAACTTATTGGACAGCTACAGGTAAGGCCTCGTTCTGCTTGGATGACTACCTGGCACTGTTCATCAAGTTAGGCAAAAAAAAACCCAATTTTGGTTTTTCTTCTGATTTTATTAATAGTAGAATCATCGAGAGGTGTTTTATATCGATAAATATGAACATTAACTTTGTTTAGTCTTATTTGTCCGCATTGCGACATTTTTTATCTATACTACGCATGCGTAAAACTCAGTTCTACTAAATTCTTGATTTATTAATTTTACAACGCAACGACCACGGATGACGACGTGCGTTTTGATTTTGAAAAAATACTTTCAGAATCGGGTGTTTTTACCATGCCATTTATCGATTACACCAAGATGCCTCAGTTCAAGTTTTAACTATGAAATCCGGATACATATTCTAATGTTTCGGAGTTCCCCGTTAACAGGTAATTTTTGTAAAGCAATAGGATTTGAAGGATTTTACTCCTACAACTGCTTAAGCATTTTCTTTGAAATTGGGATATTACTTCTGATGTATTATTTTTTAAATGCAACACTTTCTCTTTTGTGTGCAGGTTTCGAACTCGGAAGGATTTTACCCCAGCCACTCCTTAAAACAACGACAGACACTCGCTCAAACGACGCAGGACTAAGTGGACAAATGGTAATAAATCACTGAACGAAATTACAGATTCTGTTGGATTTTCGTGAGCGAAATTTTGTGCTAAATGCGGAAAAATGGATATTTCAATTTTCAAAAAGCCCAAGGTTGTGTGTAAGAAAATGCATTCTTCTCATTCTTTGTGTCCATTGGATTCTATATTATGTTCCGTGAATCAAGCATTAGGAAATGAATCTATTATATAGCAATAAACGGTGAATTCAGGAATCTTATGATCGGAGCCACGGATGCGTATACAATGATAAATCTGAGACATTCAACAGGTTGGGTACACCCCCCCCCCCCCCCCCCCCCCCCCGTTTGGTGGTCAATCGCCCATATCGGCGTCTTTTTTACCTACCAAATGGTGGTCTTTTTTATTCAAATCCAAATTTTATTAAAATAAAGCAAAAGCGCATTTACTTAGGCATTGGAGAATTTTAATTAACATATTCCTCGTACATTTAATGCAATTAAGTCAATTTTCCATGTGGAATTTCTTTGGAACTTCGTGAAAACAAAACCCACAGATGTGCGTGACGGCCGAACTATTTGCTCAAACAATACGAAAAAGTATTTTATTGTGTATAGTTTGGTAAAAAATATATTTAAACAAGAGGTGTTAGTCTAGAGATGTAACTTTTCAAATGATCTTTCAATCTGCGTCAGTATAAATCTCTATAAAATCCCATTAAACACGAGCTCCTCGTATTGTATTCGTATGGTGTGCACTTATTACTATAATATTCATTTTTTCTACATTTGAATGTAACATTTATTTTTTATTTTCTTTTTGGATGAAGTTACGATTTCTGTGCTACCCTTTGTGGTTTCATATGCATATCTATGATGTATCTACTATATTTATTTAAAAAAATTTGAATAAAAAATTTACAAAGTGACATTTGCAATTATTCTTATTTCTATTCCAAGATTAGAGTTTTTGAGCGATTATTTTATCATAAATTCACGGAATGTTTTTGTAACAAATAAAGCCATAACATACGAAAAAACGTTGTAAAAGAGAATTCTTACCTTTCGTCGTATTTTACTTTTTGAAAATTTACACTAATGGGCCTCCGTAGTGAAATCAGTCTTTTGACCCAAGTTCGGAAAAGATCGTCATTTTTAATTGGTTAAGATAATTGATCGGTTACCCGGATGACAGAAATATGTAGTGATGAACACGATTGATAGGCTCAACTACGCGCGAGATGGAGGGAATTTTTCTTTTTAAGTTAAAACACAGAAAAGTTACTCTTGTTTACATAGGTGACGATTTTGTCAATTATTTGAACGACACTGCGATAAAAAGTCCGCGTTGAAATTCTGATTTTTTCCGTTCATAGTTTTGACAAATATCTATATTTTATTCCCCGTGAGTTGCAATTATGCGCCATTTCATGTTATTCCAGAGAACTGAACAAAACGATTTTTCTCTCCCATTTGGTAGGCAATAAAGACGCCGATATGGGCGATTGACCACCAAACGGGGGTTTAATGACCATTTGGGGGTGTGTGCCCAACCTGTTCAATTCACTGGATTTTTTGTGCTATTTTCTATAGGAAAAATAGATATTTCAATAAACAAAAAGCCCAAGGTTGTGCATGTGTAAGAAAATGCATCTTCTCATTCTTTGTGTCCATTGGATTCTATATTATGTACCGTGAATCAAGCATTAGGAAATGAATCTATTATATAGCAATAAACGGTGAATTCAGGAATCTTATAATCGGAGCCACGGATGCGTCTACAATGATGAATCTGAGACATTCAATTCACTGCATTTTTTGTGCCATTTTCAATAGGGTTTTTTGTGAAATATTAACATTTAACGCTACTGATTTCCTACATTGTTCATATTAAATTGTTTGATTTGTAATTGCCTTTTAAGTACTGTTTACTTATTTGCCTCGCTCTTTGTTCTCCTTTGAACGTTACCTGTACCTGTCCAATAAGCTGAAACTTATTGGACACCTACAGGTAACTTATTGGACGGGGTGCAGGACAATAACAAATTTATTGAACCAGGTTTAACAAAAGATGACGTCACAGAAATGTTTTAAACATGTATAGTAATAAACCATGTACTGTATGCCAGTGCCGATAATCGAAAATGACCTATGCCTACGAGTCGAGTCTTAAATATGGAATATTTCAATAATCCAATTTTATTTATCCAGGCAACAGACAGAAAAAGCTTATACATGTATACAATTTCTTGGGATTATGCCCTCTTTGTTTAATAATTAAGAAACTAGTATATGCATCTCAATCGTTAATACAAGTTGAATTAATTTACAGATATAAAATCGAATTGCATTTATTTGGACTGAAAACCTTACACTTGGACATAGAATGTCCAATATCAATTTTATTTATTGATTTCCTGTTCATGTGTTTTGATTGGACAAGAACAAAATCAAGATAAATTTTACACAACGATAATACCTCTCGGTCAGAACTACTTCCATTACCTGGCTTTTATAAAAATTAAAAAATGAAACAAATCGTTACTTCAAGTCTGAAAACGATCTCTGAAACTTAAAATGACTGTCAGATCACGAGTGTGAATTTGAAAATCATCGTCGTCCCTTATTATGCTAATTCTAAGCAAATCAGCTCAAGCAAATCTCGGTAGCGCTTACAGGGAAAAGATTCGTACCTTTTACTCTGTCTTATTACATGTACCATCCTATTCATATTTCGACATCCATTATTCTGTTCTGTCTTTGGACAAACCAGAGCAATCACGGATGCCGTCATCCTGCAATATTATACTCAGTCTGTCTTATGTGAAGGCTTGACCATAAATAATCTGACTCCGCATTTGTCACCTAACCCCCACCCCCTCCACAACAAAAGTACGTTGTCATCTGAATCCTATGTCGTTAATGCTTGGGTGTAATTTAAAAACTCAAAATTAAATCTACAATTTTGATTGAATGCTTTCTTAGACGCGTGAGTCGAAATGCACACATTTCATTGTATAAAATTATATTTTTTCCAAGAAATGAGTTTCAGTTCAAATTGCCTTTTCGATTGCAGAACATTGGACAATCATACTCCCTTCAGGATTTTTAGACTAATAAAAGTCCTTTAGCAAGGTACCACCTGTTCACCCCTTGTTAACGGAGCCCCTTGTTTCTTAGCAAGGAAAATGTGTGTGTAAAAAGACATTAATTACGAGAATATATCGACTCACTTTCTGTATAGGGATAACTTAATTCATTTACATTTCCAATTGGAAATACTGGGTTGGATTCCTTTATTTAAAATGAACTATCCCTTATTCATGTTATTACACTATATAATTACTTAATATCCATGTCTAACGTTCATTGTATACATAGGTCATTATCATGCAAAGATGTCAATGTTTTCCAAAACCGTTGTTATGCCAGCATGACACAAACTGAATATTAAATTTTTTTATTTGGAATTTTTTATCTGCATAAACATCATTCTATAAAATACAATTCATCAATTATTTTCATGATACATGTGTACACGGGGTATGTGAATTGTCAAAATTTATTTTCAAAAGTTCTCTCAAATTTTCAAAATAGTATTCACATTGTGTCAATTACCAAAAGATCTACATCTGAATTTGAAATAATAAATAGAAAATGCAATTAAGTGTACAATTTTTGCGTATATTTCCGTTATTTTCTTTTTAAAAGTTCTTAATTATACCTTCCAATTTCATTTTTTTTAAATCCAACATTAGTTCTAATCTCTAGTTTAAAAGAAAGATATAAAATAAATGCACATGTAGTTTGAAAAATATTCTGTATCATTGAGGTAAAAATTTTATCCTCGAAATTCGTCAACAATTATATTATAAATGTGAATTTGTTCTCCAACTTAGGCTTATTCTGACAAGGATACATATCTTCACAGTGTCACGTTGCTTTTGTTTATATTGTCGTTGCCTTTCTTTTAAGTCCTGATTTCGGTAATACTGTTTTAAAAAAGTTATTTAAATTAGCCAAAATCAAATGTTCATCAGTTGACAGAAAAGTCAGGAAAACAGACCGATAAAGAATTATCGTTCATTATGTGTTAGTCATTGAGGTTATTCTTTCACTGATGTCTCGTGCATAAGATCAACAATATCTTCACGATTTAAATCACGAGCAATGTCTATAACTGTTTTTCCATTTTCGTCTCGCAAATTAATATCAGCACCGTGTTCTATTAGCATTTTTACTACGGCTTCATGTCCTTCTTTACATGCTCTGACGATAGGACTGCATCCATATTTATCATATGCATATATATCTACACCGTTCTCCAGTAAAATTTTAACCATGCTGTTATTTTCATTCCAACATGCTACATATAGTGGACTAAACTTTCCAAATTGACATAAATTGACGTCTGCACCATTTTTTAATAGAAGCTTAACCGTGTTGTCATGTCCTTCACCACAAGCGAGGTAAAGAGGACTTCTTCCCTCTTTATCACATAAATTCACATCGGCTCCTTTGTCGAGAAGAAGTTTTATGATATTGTTTCTTCCATCATGGGAAGCTCTTCCAATCGGACTCAGACATTGGTTGTCACATAAATCGGCGTCTGCTTTGTTGTTTAGTAAGATCTTTACTTTATTTTCAAATCCCTTTTCGCAAGAAATAAACAAAGGACTCGTTCCATTATTGCGACATAAATTTATATTCGCATCATTTTGCACCAATAATTTCACAGTACTGTCATTACCAAAGAAACAGGCTCTCCAGAGTGGACTTTCTCCATTGGAATTACATGCATTGATATCTGCTCCACTGTCCAGTAAACACTTAACTATATTAGTGTGTTTACACTCACAAACTGCATTAAAAACAGTGAAACCTTTATCGTTTGATAGATTAACATTGGCTCCATTAGTCAACAACAATTTAACTGTGCCTTCATGTCCATTACTACAAGCATACCAGAGTGGACTGTTACCCTTTGTATCACGTGTATTTATGTTAATGCCTTTGTTCAGTAGAAATTGTACCATTATGTCATATCCAGATTTACAAGCTGAGTGTAGAAGACTTTCTCCAGATTTAGAACATGCATTGATGTCAGCTCCATTGGAGATTAAAAGTTCAATAGTGTTTTGAGGTACTCTATCAAACATACAGAAGTGCAAAGGTAAATATCCATCTTTCTTACATAAATTGACTTTTGTTCCATACTTTATTAAACATTCAATAGTCTGATTACGCCCCATGCCCACTTGCCGATTAATTTCAAAACAGTGCGCGTCATCAGTGGCTGCCATAATCAAAGGATTAGATTGGTTTGCTGTGAGTGTGTTTGGATCAGCTCCTAACTGAAGCAGTCTCTCAACAATTTTTACATTGTGAAAAGCGGATGCTATGTGTATGGGGTAATAGTTTTTTCCCCATATTTTATCAATCCGCAATTTTACAACTTTTTTTTCTATTAAGTTGAAAAGTTCTAAACTACCATTAGCACACACGAAAGGGAGTAAAAAATGATCTTTTAAAATTTTACTCTCAGTGTTATTCAAACAAAAAGAAGATATTTCATCATGACAATATGTAATGAGAAGGCCGATTGGTGTTATTTTTTCTTCTAACGAAATAAAGCGGATCCTAGACAAACGACTTTCACGCATTGCCTCCTCGCTGTAAATGTATTTTTCAATTGATATGGTTTTTTCAGTGTAGAACATTGATAGATTGTCTAGACTTTTCATCTTCTCAATGAATTTTTCTATTACAGTTCCACTTCTTAAACACGGATTAAGAACAACATCAAAAATTCCATCAGATTTGATATCATTGAAGAATCTTTCTATAAGATCTCCTAAATACATAGGATCCAGATAAATAGTAAGTGGATCAGGTGTTTCAGTTTTATCTTGAATTTTCATTCTTTTTCGAATGAAATCACTACTTGCATATTTTATTGTCTCTTCTGGGAAATCTGTTCCAAATATCGATGTAGTAATTTCCATGACAAAGTCGTGAATGAAGGAAAATGAGCTACCAATGCACTTTACAAAGGAACCTTCCAGCAACGTAAGATTTTTTTTAATACTTGTAATTTGTAAAGAAGAAGGCAAATTACAAGCTTCGATTATTTCATAGAATCTTTTCCGGAATTCGTCTGATTTTTTTATTTGCTTAACATCAATGCTATTGAACATTGAGAGAAGAATGAGTGCACAATATTTTTCCGTGCTTCTTTCTTTGTATGTTTCAATTTCTTTCTTAACTAATTCAGTAGGACATTTAAAAAGACTAAGTACATCTCCCATGTAATGCTGATTAACAGCAAGGAGTTTACAGAGCAAAGGAAAATATGCATCCGTCTTAATTATTTCATCAATATCATTTTTAGAAAGATCTCCCTCTTTCACATACTGTTTGATTATTAGCATCTTCTCTTCATCTGTTAAAACATTGCTCCCACTGTCAATCTCTACGATATTGGATTGTTCTCTGAATAGCCCTTGCAAAGCATTTTCTTTTATCACACACCGTCTACAAGATATCAACATTTTTGATTTTTCCAAACAAATTTCTATGGTGTTTTCAAAAGATTCCCATGAATGTTTAGATATTTCATCCAATTTCTCTTTTCCAATGGGGTCATTCATAATAAAAAGTCTCCGAGTAAAGAACCTTGAACACATTTCTTTAATTTCTCTGACTTCATCAATGGGAACGATATCCCAGCCCTGTCTCTGATACTTTAAAGCAATATGTTGAATCGTGGCAGTCTTTCCTGACCCGGAATTGCCTACGACAATGACAAAATTTTGATTTTGGAGTTTTTCTTCAACTGCTTTCGTTGCCAAAGTGGGAACAAATGTTTTATTTTCCATTTTCCAGTTGGCAATAATTGCTTCATTTAAAGACACCGGTCCTTTCAAAAAAGGGAAAAATATATCTAGTTAAAACATACTAAATACTTGTAAATTATTTCATTTTCCTTATACTTGCAAGTTACTTTGAAAGAGCGAGAATTCCATCACTCCACGGAAACATCAGCATTAAGCAGAAAATTATGAATAGACAACTCAATTCAACTTAAAGGTCATTGAGAACGGAAGAACAATTACATGTAAGAGACATTTATTTGGACATAGTTTTATTACATGATTGTTTTCCGATACATTTTAGCGTGTGTTTACACATCAACGTAAAAAAACCTAATGCAAATTCTCCAAAATTATTTCAGCAGTTCTTTGTTCATAAATGACCCACTTATTTAAAAGGTATTTAAAAGGTCACATTCTATCACACGTGACACTTAGTCTACTAGCATAATTCGTAATATAACATTATTGTTTAAGTTGTAAAAATTAAATTGTCAGTTTTTATTCTTTTGTCTTTTGATTTCCCTCTCTGCAAGTGGGGGTTGGGTGGGGTGTTAATTTCACTCTGTCTGTCTGTTCATTCGTCTGTCTGTCCGACCGTTCGCCGTCTGTCTGTCTATTTGTCTGTAGTTCTGTCAGTCTGTAACACTTTCGTTTCTCCGCGACATCACGAGAAGCATTGAATCATTTGCAATGAAATTTTACAGTCCTTATGACCTGAGAAGGATTCTTATGATGTTGTGGTTAAAAGGCAGAGTCGTATATATAGAATATCACACTGCTGTTTTGATCTGGTATCAGCTCGAGCGGTTGGTATCGGGCCGAGACCACCCCAGGGCTGATACCAGGGACGAGATCAAAACGGCAGTGTGATGTTGTTTATATCATAAATCTAATACCAAAGAAAATAACAAATATTTTGATATTTTTTTATTATCACGTTTATAATTTTGTCATAACAAAATATTAGAGTTATCTTTCTTTATTTCGATGTTCTTGGAGATGTTCATCATGATGTTGCTTTACGGTGAATAATCAAATAGATATAGATTTGCCTGGTTTGGTCATTAAAAAGAATAGTCCTGGTGTTTTGAAACATTTCATTTCGAAGCACATTAGATAACAAAGATTTAAAAGGTCCCAAACTTAAAAATATTCTACTTTCACTTTGCATCGAACCGGGATAACAACTTCGTCAACGAATCGTTGCACTGATGTAAACCTGATATTTATAGTAAATATTTGTTTTGTTTACAATATATATTTAATTACAAATGGCACATTAAATGAAAACTTGGTATTGCCTTACTGTCAAAGCAAATAAACGTCCATTGTTTCAAAACATGACTTGTTGCTGTCCTAGAAGAGTTACCTCTCTTACGTCACAAATGCTATTATTTGGCGCACTTTTTAAAAACAATTTTCTCAAAATTCTAATATTTATAAAAAAATATTTTTTTTAAGATTCTGATTAAATATTTCAATGTTTAATGTTTCTTTTTAATAGTTACAGCCCTACTTCCAAGGGACTGTCTCGCCTAGTCAAAAACGCCTGTATCAGGGCTGATACACTACTAGGTATATGATATATTTATATATGCTGTGTACTGTGAAATCACTAATTTTCGTGGGTGTTTAATTTTCGTTGTTTTTGTGGTATGAAGGGACCCACGAATTTATGTCCACCACGATGTGTAAATTTTCATATGCGCAACTTCTAAAAATTTCTTCATCCACGAAATAAAATCCCTATGAACCAACATTTTTTTCTTCAAACCACGAAAATTTGACCCCACGAAGATATGTGATTTTACAGTATGCAAAACTCTCATTTCCCGGCGAGCGATGCCTCAAAAAGCTTTTGAGTCTTTTTTTTCCCCCCCCCCCCCCCCTAAGGTCAGCACATTTTTTAAGCACATTTTGTCTTCTTCTTTTTATTTAACAGGGAGACACATATATGATTAAATATAGCATGTCATTATTCTGCTATCATAATTTGCAAATGCACATGTAGTTTGAAAAATATTCTGTATCATTGAGGTAAAAATTTTATCCTCGAAATTCGTCAACAATTATATTATAAATGTGAATTTGTTCTCCAACTTAGGCTTATTCTGACAAGGATACATATCTTCACAGTGTCACGTTGCTTTTGTTTATATTGTCGTTGCCTTTCTTTTAAGTCCTGATTTCGGTAATACTGTTTTAAAAAAGTTATTTAAATTAGCCAAAATCAAATGTTCATCAGTTGACAGAAAAGTCAGGAAAACAGACCGATAAAGAATTATCGTTCATTATGTGTTAGTCATTGAGGTTATTCTTTCACTGATGTCTCGTGCATAAGATCAACAATATCTTCACGATTTAAATCACGAGCAATGTCTATAACTGTTTTTCCATTTTCGTCTCGCAAATTAATATCAGCACCGTGTTCTATTAGCATTTTTACTACGGCTTCATGTCCTTCTTTACATGCTCTGACGATAGGACTGCATCCATATTTATCATATGCATATATATCTACACCGTTCTCCAGTAAAATTTTAACCATGCTGTTATTTTCATTCCAACATGCTACATATAGTGGACTAAACTTTCCAAATTGACATAAATTGACGTCTGCACCATTTTTTAATAGAAGCTTAACCGTGTTGTCATGTCCTTCACCACAAGCGAGGTAAAGAGGACTTCTTCCCTCTTTATCACATAAATTCACATCGGCTCCTTTGTCGAGAAGAAGTTTTATGATATTGTTTCTTCCATCATGGGAAGCTCTTCCAATCGGACTCAGACATTGGTTGTCACATAAATCGGCGTCTGCTTTGTTGTTTAGTAAGATCTTTACTTTATTTTCAAATCCCTTTTCGCAAGAAATAAACAAAGGACTCGTTCCATTATTGCGACATAAATTTATATTCGCATCATTTTGCACCAATAATTTCACAGTACTGTCATTACCAAAGAAACAGGCTCTCCAGAGTGGACTTTCTCCATTGGAATTACATGCATTGATATCTGCTCCACTGTCCAGTAAACACTTAACTATATTAGTGTGTTTACACTCACAAACTGCATTAAAAACAGTGAAACCTTTATCGTTTGATAGATTAACATTGGCTCCATTAGTCAACAACAATTTAACTGTGCCTTCATGTCCATTACTACAAGCATACCAGAGTGGACTGTTACCCTTTGTATCACGTGTATTTATGTTAATGCCTTTGTTCAGTAGAAATTGTACCATTATGTCATATCCAGATTTACAAGCTGAGTGTAGAAGACTTTCTCCAGATTTAGAACATGCATTGATGTCAGCTCCATTGGAGATTAAAAGTTCAATAGTGTTTTGAGGTACTCTATCAAACATACAGAAGTGCAAAGGTAAATATCCATCTTTCTTACATAAATTGACTTTTGTTCCATACTTTATTAAACATTCAATAGTCTGATTACGCCCCATGCCCACTTGCCGATTAATTTCAAAACAGTGCGCGTCATCAGTGGCTGCCATAATCAAAGGATTAGATTGGTTTGCTGTGAGTGTGTTTGGATCAGCTCCTAACTGAAGCAGTCTCTCAACAATGTTTACATTGTGAAAAGCGGATGCTATGTGTATGGGGTAATAGTTTTTTCCCCATATTTTATCAATCCGCAATTTTACAACTTTTTTTTCTATTAAGTTGAAAAGTTCTAAACTACCATTAGCACACACGAAAGGGAGTAAAAAATGATCTTTTAAAATTTTACTCTCAGTGTTATTCAAACAAAAAGAAGATATTTCATCATGACAATATGTAATGAGAAGGCCGATTGGTGTTATTTTTTCTTCTAACGAAATAAAGCGGATCCTAGACAAACGACTTTCACGCATTGCCTCCTCGCTGTAAATGTATTTTTCAATTGATATGGTTTTTTCAGTGTAGAACATTGATAGATTGTCTAGACTTTTCATCTTCTCAATGAATTTTTCTATTACAGTTCCACTTCTTAAACACGGATTAAGAACAACATCAAAAATTCCATCAGATTTGATATCATTGAAGAATCTTTCTATAAGATCTCCTAAATACATAGGATCCAGATAAATAGTAAGTGGATCAGGTGTTTCAGTTTTATCTTGAATTTTCATTCTTTTTCGAATGAAATCACTACTTGCATATTTTATTGTCTCTTCTGGGAAATCTGTTCCAAATATCGATGTAGTAATTTCCATGACAAAGTCGTGAATGAAGGAAAATGAGCTACCAATGCACTTTACAAAGGAACCTTCCAGCAACGTAAGATTTTTTTTAATACTTGTAATTTGTAAAGAAGAAGGCAAATTACAAGCTTCGATTATTTCATAGAATCTTTTCCGGAATTCGTCTGATTTTTTTATTTGCTTAACATCAATGCTATTGAACATTGAGAGAAGAATGAGTGCACAATATTTTTCCGTGCTTCTTTCTTTGTATGTTTCAATTTCTTTCTTAACTAATTCAGTAGGACATTTGAAAAGACTAAGTACATCTCCCATGTAATGCTGATTAACAGCAAGGAGTTTACAGAGCAAAGGAAAATATGCATCCGTCTTAATTATTTCATCAATATCATTTTTAGAAAGATCTCCCTCTTTCACATACTGTTTGATTATTAGCATCTTCTCTTCATCTGTTAAGACATTGCTCCCACTGTCAATCTCTACGATATTGGATTGTTCTCTGAATAGCCCTTGCAAAGCATTTTCTTTTATCACACACCGTCTACAAGATATCAACATTTTTGATTTTTCCAAACAAATTTCTATGGTGTTTTCAAAAGATTCCCATGAATGTTTAGATATTTCATCCAATTTCTCTTTTCCAATGGGGTCATTCATAATAAAAAGTCTCCGAGTAAAGAACCTTGAACACATTTCTTTAATTTCTCTGACTTCATCAATGGGAACGATATCCCAGCCCTGTCTCTGATACTTTAAAGCAATATGTTGAATCGTGGCAGTCTTTCCTGACCCGGAATTGCCTACGACAATGACAAAATTTTGATTTTGGAGTTTTTCTTCAACTGCTTTCGTTGCCAAAGTGGGAACAAATGTTTTATTTTCCATTTTCCAGTTGGCAATAATTGCTTCATTTAAGACACCGGTCCTTTCAAAAAAGGGAAAAATATATCTAGTTAAAACATATTAAATACTTGTAAATTATTTCATTTTCCTTATACTTGCAAGTTACTTTGAAAGAGCGAGAATTCCATCACTCCACGGAAACATCAGCATTAAGCAGAAAATTATGAATAGACAACTCAATTCAACTTAAAGGTCATTGAGAACGGAAGAACAATTACATGTAAGAGACATTTATTTGGACATAGTTTTATTACATGATTGTTTTCCGATACATTTTAGCGTGTGTTTACACATCAACGTAAAAAACCTAATGCAAATTCTCCAAAATTATTTCAGCAGTTCTTTGTTCATAAATGACCCACTTATTTAAAAGGTATTTAAAAGGTCACATTCTATCACACGTGACACTTAGTCTACTAGCATAATTCGTAATATAACATTATTGTTTAAGTTGTAAAAATTAAATTGTCAGTTTTTATTCTTTTGTCTTTTGATTTCCCTCTCTGCAAGTGGGGGTTGGGTGGGGTGTTAATTTCACTCTGTCTGTCTGTTCATTCGTCTGTCTGTCCGACCGTCCGCCGTCTGTCTGTCTATTTGTCTGTAGTTCTGTCAGTCTGTAACACTTTCGTTTCTCCGCGACATCACGAGAAGCATTGAATCATTTGCAATGAAATTTTACAGTCCTTATGACCTGAGAAGGATTCTTATGATGTTGTGGTTAAAAGGCAGAGTCGTATATATAGAATATCACACTGCTGTTTTGATCTGGTATCAGCTCGAGCGGTTGGTATCGGGCCGAGACCACCCCAGGGCTGATACCAGGGACGAGATCAAAACGGCAGTGTGATGTTGTTTATATCATAAATCTAATACCAAAGAAAATAACAAATATTTTGATATTTTTTTATTATCACGTTTATAATTTTGTCATAACAAAATATTAGAGTTATCTTTCTTTATTTCGATGTTCTTGGAGATGTTCATCATGATGTTGCTTTACGGTGAATAATCAAATAGATATAGATTTGCCTGGTTTGGTCATTAAAAAGAATAGTCCTGGTGTTTTGAAACATTTCATTTCGAAGCACATTAGATAACAAAGATTTAAAAGGTCCCAAACTTAAAAATATTCTACTTTCACTTTGCATCGAACCGGGATAACAACTTCGTCAACGAATCGTTGCACTGATGTAAACCTGATATTTATAGTAAATATTTGTTTTGTTTACAATATATATTTAATTACAAATGGCACATTAAATGAAAACTTGGTATTGCCTTACTGTCAAAGCAAATAAACGTCCATTGTTTCAAAACATGACTTGTTGCTGTCCTAGAAGAGTTACCTCTCTTACGTCACAAATGCTATTATTTGGCGCACTTTTTAAAAACAATTTTCTCAAAATTCTAATATTTATAAAAAAATATTTTTTTTAAGATTCTGATTAAATATTTCAATGTTTAATGTTTCTTTTTAATAGTTACAGCCCTACTTCCAAGGGACTGTCTCGCCTAGTCAAAAACGCCTGTATCAGGGCTGATACACTACTAGGTATATGATATATTTATATATGCTGTGTACTGTGAAATCACTAATTTTCGTGGGTGTTTAATTTTCGTTGTTTTTGTGGTATGAAGGGACCCACGAATTTATGTCCACCACGATGTGTAAATTTTCATATGCGCAACTTCTAAAAATTTCTTCATCCACGAAATAAAATCCCTATGAACCAACATTTTTTTCTTCAAACCACGAAAATTTGACCCCACGAAGATATGTGATTTTACAGTATGCAAAACTCTCATTTCCCGGCGAGCGATGTCTCAAAAAGCTTTTGAGTCTTTTTTAGCCCCCCCCCCCTAAGGTCAGCACATTTTTTAAGCACATTTTGTCTTCTTCTTTTTATTTAACAGGGAGACACATATATGATTAAATATAGCATGTCATTATTCTGCTATCATAATTTGCAAATGCACATGTAGTTTGAAAAATATTCTGTATCATTGAGGTAAAAATTTTATCCTCGAAATTCGTCAACAATTATATTATAAATGTGAATTTGTTCTCCAACTTAGGCTTATTCTGACAAGGATACATATCTTCACAGTGTCACGTTGCTTTTGTTTATATTGTCGTTGCCTTTCTTTTAAGTCCTGATTTCGGTAATACTGTTTTAAAAAAGTTATTTAAATTAGCCAAAATCAAATGTTCATCAGTTGACAGAAAAGTCAGGAAAACAGACCGATAAAGAATTATCGTTCATTATGTGTTAGTCATTGAGGTTATTCTTTCACTGATGTCTCGTGCATAAGATCAACAATATCTTCACGATTTAAATCACGAGCAATGTCTATAACTGTTTTTCCATTTTCGTCTCGCAAATTAATATCAGCACCGTGTTCTATTAGCATTTTTACTACGGCTTCATGTCCTTCTTTACATGCTCTGACGATAGGACTGCATCCATATTTATCATATGCATATATATCTACACCGTTCTCCAGTAAAATTTTAACCATGCTGTTATTTTCATTCCAACATGCTACATATAGTGGACTAAACTTTCCAAATTGACATAAATTGACGTCTGCACCATTTTTTAATAGAAGCTTAACCGTGTTGTCATGTCCTTCACCACAAGCGAGGTAAAGAGGACTTCTTCCCTCTTTATCACATAAATTCACATCGGCTCCTTTGTCGAGAAGAAGTTTTATGATATTGTTTCTTCCATCATGGGAAGCTCTTCCAATCGGACTCAGACATTGGTTGTCACATAAATCGGCGTCTGCTTTGTTGTTTAGTAAGATCTTTACTTTATTTTCAAATCCCTTTTCGCAAGAAATAAACAAAGGACTCGTTCCATTATTGCGACATAAATTTATATTCGCATCATTTTGCACCAATAATTTCACAGTACTGTCATTACCAAAGAAACAGGCTCTCCAGAGTGGACTTTCTCCATTGGAATTACATGCATTGATATCTGCTCCACTGTCCAGTAAACACTTAACTATATTAGTGTGTTTACACTCACAAACTGCATTAAAAACAGTGAAACCTTTATCGTTTGATAGATTAACATTGGCTCCATTAGTCAACAACAATTTAACTGTGCCTTCATGTCCATTACTACAAGCATACCAGAGTGGACTGTTACCCTTTGTATCACGTGTATTTATGTTAATGCCTTTGTTCAGTAGAAATTGTACCATTATGTCATATCCAGATTTACAAGCTGAGTGTAGAAGACTTTCTCCAGATTTAGAACATGCATTGATGTCAGCTCCATTGGAGATTAAAAGTTCAATAGTGTTTTGAGGTACTCTATCAAACATACAGAAGTGCAAAGGTAAATATCCATCTTTCTTACATAAATTGACTTTTGTTCCATACTTTATTAAACATTCAATAGTCTGATTACGCCCCATGCCCACTTGCCGATTAATTTCAAAACAGTGCGCGTCATCAGTGGCTGCCATAATCAAAGGATTAGATTGGTTTGCTGTGAGTGTGTTTGGATCAGCTCCTAACTGAAGCAGTCTCTCAACAATTTTTACATTGTGAAAAGCGGATGCTATGTGTATGGGGTAATAGTTTTTTCCCCATATTTTATCAATCCGCAATTTTACAACTTTTTTTTCTATTAAGTTGAAAAGTTCTAAACTACCATTAGCACACACGAAAGGGAGTAAAAAATGATCTTTTAAAATTTTACTCTCAGTGTTATTCAAACAAAAAGAAGATATTTCATCATGACAATATGTAATGAGAAGGCCGATTGGTGTTATTTTTTCTTCTAACGAAATAAAGCGGATCCTAGACAAACGACTTTCACGCATTGCCTCCTCGCTGTAAATGTATTTTTCAATTGATATGGTTTTTTCAGTGTAGAACATTGATAGATTGTCTAGACTTTTCATCTTCTCAATGAATTTTTCTATTACAGTTCCACTTCTTAAACACGGATTAAGAACAACATCAAAAATTCCATCAGATTTGATATCATTGAAGAATCTTTCTATAAGATCTCCTAAATACATAGGATCCAGATAAATAGTAAGTGGATCAGGTGTTTCAGTTTTATCTTGAATTTTCATTCTTTTTCGAATGAAATCACTACTTGCATATTTTATTGTCTCTTCTGGGAAATCTGTTCCAAATATCGATGTAGTAATTTCCATGACAAAGTCGTGAATGAAGGAAAATGAGCTACCAATGCACTTTACAAAGGAACCTTCCAGCAACGTAAGATTTTTTTTAATACTTGTAATTTGTAAAGAAGAAGGCAAATTACAAGCTTCGATTATTTCATAAAATCTTTTCCGGAATTCGTCTGATTTTTTTATTTGCTTAACATCAATGCTATTGAACATTGAGAGAAGAATGAGTGCACAATATTTTTCCGTGCTTCTTTCTTTGTATGTTTCAATTTCTTTCTTAACTAATTCAGTAGGACATTTGAAAAGACTAAGTACATCTCCCATGTAATGCTGATTAACAGCAAGGAGTTTACAGAGCAAAGGAAAATATGCATCCGTCTTAATTATTTCATCAATATCATTTTTAGAAAGATCTCCCTCTTTCACATACTGTTTGATTATTAGCATCTTCTCTTCATCTGTTAAAACATTGCTCCCACTGTCAATCTCTACGATATTGGATTGTTCTCTGAATAGCCCTTGCAAAGCATTTTCTTTTATCACACACCGTCTACAAGATATCAACATTTTTGATTTTTCCAAACAAATTTCTATGGTGTTTTCAAAAGATTCCCATGAATGTTTAGATATTTCATCCAATTTCTCTTTTCCAATGGGGTCATTCATAATAAAAAGTCTCCGAGTAAAGAACCTTGAACACATTTCTTTAATTTCTCTGACTTCATCAATGGGAACGATATCCCAGCCCTGTCTCTGATACTTTAAAGCAATATGTTGAATCGTGGCAGTCTTTCCTGACCCGGAATTGCCTACGACAATGACAAAATTTTGATTTTGGAGTTTTTCTTCAACTGCTTTCGTTGCCAAAGTGGGAACAAATGTTTTATTTTCCATTTTCCAGTTGGCAATAATTGCTTCATTTAAAGACACCGGTCCTTTCAAAAAAGGGAAAAATATATCTAGTTAAAACATATTAAATACTTGTAAATTATTTCATTTTCCTTATACTTGCAAGTTACTTTGAAAGAGCGAGAATTCCATCACTCCACGGAAACATCAGCATTAAGCAGAAAATTATGAATAGACAACTCAATTCAACTTAAAGGTCATTGAGAACGGAAGAACAATTACATGTAAGAGACATTTATTTGGACATAGTTTTATTACATGATTGTTTTCCGATACATTTTAGCGTGTGTTTACACATCAACGTAAAAAACCTAATGCAAATTCTCCAAAATTATTTCAGCAGTTCTTTGTTCATAAATGACCCACTTATTTAAAAGGTATTTAAAAGGTCACATTCTATCACACGTGACACTTAGTCTACTAGCATAATTCGTAATATAACATTATTGTTTAAGTTGTAAAAATTAAATTGTCAGTTTTTATTCTTTTGTCTTTTGATTTCCCTCTCTGCAAGTGGGGGTTGGGTGGGGTGTTAATTTCACTCTGTCTGTCTGTTCATTCGTCTGTCTGTCCGACCGTCCGCCGTCTGTCTGTCTATTTGTCTGTAGTTCTGTCAGTCTGTAACACTTTCGTTTCTCCGCGACATCACGAGAAGCATTGAATCATTTGCAATGAAATTTTACAGTCCTTATGACCTGAGAAGGATTCTTATGATGTTGTGGTTAAAAGGCAGAGTCGTATATATAGAATATCACACTGCTGTTTTGATCTGGTATCAGCTCGAGCGGTTGGTATCGGGCCGAGACCACCCCTGGGCTGATACCAGGGACGAGATCAAAACGGCAGTGTGATGTTGTTTATATCATAAATCTAATACCAAAGAAAATAACAAATATTTTGATATTTTTTTATTATCACGTTTATAATTTTGTCATAACAAAATATTAGAGTTATCTTTCTTTATTTCGATGTTCTTGGAGATATGTTCATCATGATGTTGCTTTACGGTGAATAATCAAATAGATATAGATTTGCCTGGTTTGGTCATTAAAAAGAATAGTCCTGGTGTTTTGAAACATTTCATTTTGAAGCACATTAGATAACAAAGATTTAAGAGATCCCAAACAACTTAAAAATATTCTTCTTTCACTTTGCATCGAACCGGGATTACAACTTCGTCAACGAATCGTTGCACTGATGTAAACCTGATATTTATAGTAAATATTTGTTTTGTTTACAATATATATTTAATTACAAATGGCACATTAAATGAAAACTTGGTATTGCCTTACTGTCAAAGCAAATAAACGTCCATTGTTTCAAAACATGACTTGTTGCTGTCCTAGAAGAGTTACCTCTCTTACGTCACAAATGCTATTATTTGGCGCACTTTTTAAAAACAATTTTCTCAAAATTCTAATATTTATAAAAAAATATTTTTTTTAAGATTCTGATTAAATATTTCAATGTTTAATGTTTCTTTTTAATAGTTACAGCCCTACTTCCAAGGGACTGTCTCGCCTAGTCAAAAACGCCTGTATCAGGGCTGATACACTACTAGGTATATGATATATTTATATATGCTGTGTACTGTGAAATCACTAATTTTCGTGGGTGTTTAATTTTCGTTGTTTTTGTGGTATGAAGGGACCCACGAATTTATGTCCACCACGATGTGTAAATTTTCATATGCGCAACTTCTAAAAATTTCTTCATCCACGAAATAAAATCCCTATGAACCAACATTTTTTTCTTCAAACCACGAAAATTTGACCCCACGAAGATATGTGATTTTACAGTATGCAAAACTCTCATTTCCCGGCGAGCGATGTCTCAAAAAGCTTTTGAGTCTTTTTTAGCCCCCCCCCCTAAGGTCAGCACATTTTTTAAGCACATTTTGTCTTCTTCTTTTTATTTAACAGGGAGACACATATATGATTAAATATAGCATGTCATTATTCTGCTATCATAATTTGCAAATAATTTGAACGTCTAAAAATTTTATCACCTTTCTTACTATTTTGAAAAGATGTTTTAGCTTTTTTACTGTCAGTCCATTAAAAGCTATTTATTGCCTAGTCTGTATTTCTGCTAAGTTGACTTACAATTTGTGGATCAATAAACACAAATGTTATATACAGATTAAAGAGGGAAATAACAGAGCATTTGCAAAACTATGCATCGTTGTTTTAAATTGTATATTAAAATATTTGTTATACTCACGACAACTTATTTTGTTTAAGTGCATTCCTGCCTTTATTTCCTTTACATCTGATAGAAGTGTTGACATATCTTCCCGAAGCTCTTTGTTATTTTCATGTTCTTCTCTCAGTTTATCTACCAGTGCTTCTTCGTGTTCTTCTTCCAGGGCCTGTCTTGCGATGTTTTGAAGACCATCCATGTACTTTTTACCCGTATAGTTTTGAAGCCTTTGACACACATCTGATATAACTAACCAGCTGTCATCAAATGCTTGTTGTGAAGTAGAAGCCGAATACACGTGTCCAAAAACACTATTCCGAATCAATCTTATTCTTTCAATGTCATCTCCAACAGTAATCTCTATCGTAGAAGGCATGTCATGACCTCCCC